TGGTTCGGTTAGTAATAATTATAATAACTTTTGAATGTTTCTTAAATTTATCATGCAATTAAATGATAAGAAAAAGAAATTAAAAAGTTTCAATAAAGTTAATCCGGAAAATTAATATGAAAAAGAAACGGAAATCAAAATGGTTTAATTACGAAACACTTTTCATCTGAAAACATCATCTGTTATAAACATTTATGCACAATTCAATATAATTAAATTTTATTTTATCCCTGTCATGTTCTGAATGATTAATTTCCAGTTCCAACATGAAAAATATTTTAGTACATTTTATTCTCATAACCTTCTTGCTTCACTCTATTGGCGGAGGAAGCGGAAAATGGAAGATGGAAAATAAAACTCAAGACATTTCCTTCTTTTTGCCTTACATTTTTGTTTTATATTCTACATACTCGTTTCCCTAAGAACATTTCATTTTACTTTTCTTTTTTATTCTTCTTATTCTTGTGTGCCATGGAAATGAAAAGCTGAAATGTATTTGCGGGATTTGTATGTTTTATTAAACATAAATTTGAAGAATTTTATAAATGTTTAAGTAAATGCTTACACACACATACATACTTAGATATATCCATAAAATGATTTCTAAGGAAAATTCCTCATTTCCTCATTCATTTGTCATCCTAATTTTTATTTCCCTTCAATTAAGTTTAAATCCAAAAATTTAATCAATAGTATCTAATTAATTAAATAGAAATGATGTCTTCATAAGAAATTGTATCATGTTGGAATTATTTTAAAGCAAAGTGTATCAATTTTCATTGTTATTTGCTTTAATATTTTTCCTTCCTTTCTCGATTTAATTAAAACAGAAGAGTATATAAAAAATATTTCAATCGATAAATAAAACGAGATGAAACTTATGATGAAACATACATTTAAAACATATGACAGACACAGACATTGGGGAAAGGACACAAGGGATATGCGGGATTGTTTTGTGTGTTGTTGTGTGTAATGATGTTCTTGCTCGAGTATAATAAAGCTCGAGGATATTTTTTTTTCGACCTCTTGGATGGTTTCCTGTTATTATTATAAGGTAAATTTTTATATATTTTTTTCGTTGCTGTCTGTTTGCTTTTCTTTTTTTTTATTTGAAAGAAATCGCAATACATATTTTCCGCTCTAAGGAAGATTTAATATATTTTTAAAGATTTCATTTTCCGACGAAAAGCTGAAATGATTTTTTTCCTCTTCAGTAAGGGAATTAAATTTTGTGACATTTCAAATGTTCTTGGAAGTGTTGAGAAGATAAAAAAACCACAAAATTGTAATAATATCTATTCAAAAGGTTTTTACCAGCAGATGATGTAGATATATTAAATTGTTTTCTTGATTGATTTTTGGTTTTGTTCACTTGATGGCTTGATTTGAGAAAAATTCTTCATGAATTTCAAAAGGAAAAGAAAAATGTTAACAAAAGTTTTAAAAAGCAAGCGAATTTATGCAAAAGTATTCAGAAACAAAAAGAAAAGTTTATTCGAAATAAAACAATTTGCAATTCAAAATAAATATGACGAAGACGACAACTAAATAACAATCAATTTGATGAGACGAGAAACAAAGTTTCCTTATCCATGGACAGAAGTAGATAAATGAGAAAAGGAAACACAAAAAAAGAAGAAAATAAACAAAAAGATGCAAATAAGCAAACGAGAATATCGAGATATCTATGTATACTTTTTTCATTATTTTATGTTGGAGTAAATATCTACTATCCTGCAACTTGACACGATGTTAGAAACATAACAATTTTGTGTACAATATTAAAGGTGGGGCAAGGGAATGTGTTAAAAAGAGAAAGAGAGAAGAAAGATAAAACACTTAAAGCAAAATTAAAACTTTTTTAATCAAATAAAGATGAAAATAAATGAAATAATTTACACAAAAGCGACACAGATGCAGGTGACATGAAAGAAACTTTCGAATGTTTTCTTTGGCTTGTTTATTGTTGCAATGAATAAAATCAATGATTTGTCACATATACAGAGAAATAATAAAGCTGAGCTGCAAACTTACCGCGATATAAACGAGTTCCAAAATTCGCTATAGTTTTTTTTATTATTATTATATGTGGATTATTTTATATTGTTTTTATTTCATTCGTTTTGTGGACGTTGAAGAAATTGTTTGATTGATTTTTTTATGTTTTTCATTTCAAATTGTTTATGAATTGAGCACCACACGTAAGTCGAAGCCAATCAATTGGTTTAAAGTAACCATCGTCGTGTATATTTTTTTTTTAATTTTTATTAGTGTGTAGATTTTATTTACATTTGATTAATTATTTATGATTACCAGCAACGGCACAGCAGACAGGGACACAATAAAAAAAAGAAGAAAAATGGAAACATAAAAACATATTTTCTTTTAGACAAGGACATTATTCAAAAAAATGATAAAAAGTAATTTTCCAACATCATGTTTCTTAATTCTAAATAGATATATTTCGTTCAAGGTGATGGCCTCAAAACGAAAACGTACGTAATGAATTTTTTGCCTGTCTCAATAAGATATTGAATGAGTTGACAAAAATAAGATAAAATTGATGATTGAGAAGGAAATGGAAGAAAAAGAAGGTAAGAAAGGCATGAAAAAAAGAATTCAATAATGTACTTGAGAATGATCGAAATGTATATTTAGCCAGAAGTATTTAGATAGGTAAATTGGAGCCTTTTTTCTTTTCCTTCTTTAATTAAAGCTCAAGCTTGGGTTCAATTTAATTTATATGCTGATTATTCCCAACAAAAGTTTTATCTAACATCTTCAATTTTACATCTAATATGCATGATTTTGAAACACATTTCATCATCCTGAGTTTTATAAAAAGAGAGAAAGAAAAATCATGTGAAAAATGCCTCTTATTTATTTATGTGCTAAATAAAACTTGGGCATCTTTCATTTAAGCCAAGCAAGCATACATAATTTACATGGAAATCTGATTTTTTTTCTTCTTCCGTTTTGGAAATAAAGAATGGGGTTTTCCTTAAACCTGCAGTGGAATTTCCTGCAATTTTCCTAGGAATCCTAGGAATCCTAGGTTTCCTAAGAAAATTTTCCTAGGAACCCTAAGATTCCTAGGATTCCTAAGATTCCTAAGAAAAATGCCCTAGGAAACCTAAGAATCTTAGGAATCTTAGGGTTCCTAGGAATATTTTTCTAGGAAACTTAGGAATCCTAAGATTCCTAAGAAAATTTTCCTAGGAACCCTAAGATTCCTAG